TCAGCCTCCCAAGTACCTGGGATTGCAGGCGAGTGCCACCATGCCTGCTAATTTGTGTATTTTTAGTAAAGATGGAGTTTCGTCATGTTGGCCAGGCTGGCCTCAAATTCCTGACCTCAGGTGATCTGCCTGCCTCGGCCTCCCAAAGTGCTGGGATTACAGGTGTGAGCCACTGCGCCCGGCCCACCCTTGATTCTTTTACTTTCATTCCCAAACTCCAATTCATTCAAGCAATCCACTCACCTTGGCCTCCCAAAGTGCTGGGATTACAGGTGTGAACCACCTTGCTCAGCTAAATTTTCTAGTAGCCCTATTAAAATAAGTAAAAAGAACCAGGTGAAATTAATTTCAGCTATATATTTTATGTAGCCCAATAAATCCAACATGAAAAACATATTTTGTATAACCCAAAACACTGCAACATGCAAAAAGTATAGAAATGTTAGAAGATATTTTACATCTTTTTTCTTCCATACTGTCTTTAAAATCTGGTGTGTATTTTATGTGTAGAGCACATGTTAGTTTGACTTTTCTTTTTTATAATTTTAAAATTTTTATTTTATTTTGTTTAGGCATATAAACTATTAACAGACAAGGCCTACAGACTTACTTCTTCTTGGATACACCCATGTTATGGCCACAGCGGCCAGTGGTATTGCTGTGCTGTCCTGGGACATGAAGGCCCCAGAAGTGGCACAGCCCTCTATGGGCTCAAATCTTCTTCAGTTGCTCCAGGTTCTCACAGAGGCTGTTATCCAGACCATTGACCAGGTCCTGGCTATATTTTCCATCCTTTACATGTTTCTGTCTGTTTGAGAACCAGTCTGGGATCTTGGGCTGGCATGTTTTCTGCATAGTGGTGATCACACATCCACCTTATCCTCAGTGAGCTCTCCTGGCCTCTCAGTGAGGTCAATGTCAGCTTTCCTCCACACCACAGGAGCATATCTTCAATACACGCCCTTGATGGCAATGATGGCAAAGGCTGTTTTCCGACGCCCATCAGTGTTGGTGTTGAGTACTCACAAAATATGCTTGGACTTCTCAGGAATCACTAGACATCGTGGCAGCACAAGTGGTGGCGTGTAGGTCTCTGGTGGAAGAGAGAATGGAAATGACCCCTTCTTTTTTTTTTGTTAGAGACAGCGTCTGCTCTGTCACCAAGGCAAGAGTGCAGTAGCGTGGTCATAGCTCACTGTAGCCTCGATCTACTGGGCTCAAGGGATCCTTCTGCCTCAGCTTCCTGAGTAGCTGGGACTACAGAAGCATGCCACCATGCCCAACTAATTATTTATTTATTATTTTATTTTATTTTATTTATTTATTTATTTTTGAGATGGAGTCTCACTCTATAGCCCAGGCTGGACTGCAGTGGCACCATCCTGGCTCACCACAACCTCCACCTCCCAGGTAGCTGGGATTACAGGCATGTGCCACTGCGCCTGGCTAATTTTTGTATTTTTAGTAGAGATGGGGTTTCACCATGTTGGCCAGGCTGGTCTTGAACTCTGATCCGCCCGACTTGGCCTCCCCAAGTGCTGGCATTACAGGTGTGAGCCACCGCGCCTGGCCTAATTTTTTTTTTTTTTGGTTTGGGGGCTTGCTATGTTGCCCAGGCTGGTCTTGAACTCCTGGCCTCAAGTGATCCTCCTGCCCTGGCTTCCCAAAGTGTTGCGATTATAGGCATGAGCCACTGCACCTGGCCAGTTTGGCTTTTCAATGGTTAAAGTGAAATGAAGTCCTACCAAACCAATAAAGCTGTGATTAACAGAAAAATATTTTCTGCTGCCTCAGTTTTTAGTTAATTTGAATGAAATTCAATTAAAAATTCAGTCCCTCATCCCAGGAGCCACATTTCAAGTGCTCGGTAGCCACATGTGGTTGGTGGCTGCCACATTGGACTTTGTAGCTCTGCGTGAAACCACACTTTCCCCTACGGCTCTCTCAAGATGGGAATGTTTTCTTCCCTGTGCTTTTTGAATGTCCATGGGCTTGAGGAGGGGTGGGTGGGGTGAGTGTCTTTTCTGCCGGTCGTTGATGCTTTCCTGGAACATTCTCCCTCCTTCCCGTGAAAAACGGTTTCTCCCACACCCTGTGGTTACCTTCATCTACCAAAGCCTGGGTACAAACATTCTTCCTTAGAGATTTCACTTTCTGAATCATTGTCACTTTCTCTAACACTTTCCTGTCCTTGGTGATATCAGTATCTTTGTAAATAATATTTCCAAAATACTGACCTCTCAGTTTCCTGCCAGTGATCCTGTCATCTCCCCAGTCTTTCATTCCCGTGGTCATATCCCAGAGCTGTCCTGTCAAATAGCGACACCCTTTCCGTAACAGAAATGGCATGCATCACGTTCCACTCCACTGTTCACTCCCTCTGGCACCCTCCCAGTGCTCAGACCACCAGTGCATCCTTCCCAGCTTCTCTGCCTGTGGTCCACCACATCTCATGCTCTCACTGACTACCCTGCCAGCTGTAATGAGACTGTCAGCTGCTGGAATCTCTTCCTTGTGTGTGCTCAAGGCCCTTGCCCTGTCTTGGCTCCATCACTTCCCTCTTATTATTTTCATCTCACCTCCAAGTCTGAGTCTGCACCCACACAGCCAAATCTGGCTGGGGAGAGCAAGCAGCACCTAAGGTCCCCTCCTGGTCATGGCCACTAACTGGTCTCAGTTGGCCCCAAATCTTTGACAGTTCCCTTCAACCTCCCATTCTCCTAGATGCTATTTTACTATCCGTAAAAGGACACAAAAGACCTCCACTTTGCTAAATTCATTTTTCCCCTAAATATATCACTTAGGAAAGTTAACGATACCCTGTTTTCTTGATTTGTAAGAGAGAGATAATGTTGAATATAACTTTACATAACTTAGGTAAATCACGTACCAAAAGTCTGCTTGTCAAAAATTAGAGATGCTGGCTGAGCACGGTGGCTCACACCTGTAACCTTAGCACTTTGGGAGGCCAACGTGGGTGGATCATTTGAGCCCAGGAGTTTGAGAATAGTCTGGGCAACATGGTGAAACCTGGTCTCATTAATTTAAAAACAATTTAAAAAATTAGAGATGTTAGGTCTGGCATGGTGGCTCATGCTTGTAAACCCAGTGCTTTGGGAGGCCCAGAGGGTCACCTGAGGCCAGAAGTTCAAGACCAGTTTGGGCAACAAAGCGAGATTCTGTCTCTACAAAAAAAATTTAAAACTATAGGTGCTTGCCTATAGACTTAGGTACCCAGGAGGCTGAGGTGGAAGGATCGCTTGAGCCCAGAAGTTTGACACTGCAGTGATCCATGATTGCGCCACTACATTCCTGCCTGGGCGACAGAGACCCTGTTTCAAAAAAAAAAAAAAAATCACATGCCGAATATGCTCTGATAGGAGTTGGGTTTTTCCACCAAAAAGAAAAAGAAAAAAAAATAAAAGGTCAGGCACAGTTGCTCACGCTTGTAATCCCAGCACTTGGGGAGGCCAAGGAGGGCGGATCCCCTGAGGTCTGGAGTTCGAGACCAGCCTGACCATGGAGAAACCCCATCTCTACTAAAAATACAAAATTAGCCAGGCGTGGTGGTGCATACCTGTAATCACAGCTACTTGGGAGGCTGAGACAGGAGAATCGCTTGAACACGGGAGGTGGAGGTTGTTTGGTGAGGCAGCTTGCACATTGCACTCCAGTCTTGGGCAACAGAGCGACAAGACGTGCCAAAAAAAAAAAAAAATTAATGAGAGAGAGGAGCAGCTTGCTGTTTACCATCCTAAGTGAATGGTTGCTAGCTGGAGTTGTTGCCATTTCTTGTGCCGAGGGCTGGGGTGGGTACGGCGTGAACTGGCTGGAGCTGGGGGTGGTGGGTAAGCGTGAACTGCTGTGCCTGAGCTCGGTGGGTAGCATCGAAACTGCTGAGCCTGAGGCGGGTGGGTAAGCTGAACTGTGAGCCTGGGTGCTGGGTAAGCGTCGCATAGCTGTTGCTGCGAGCTGGGGTGGTAAGCATGAAATGCTGAAGCCTGGGGTGAGCTGGGTAACGTGACATTGCTGAGCCTGAGCTGGGTGGGTTAAGCTAGAACACTACTAGGAGCCTGGGGGTGGTGGTAAGCCTGACTGCTCGAGCCCTGGGGTGCTGGGTAGCTTGAACTGACTGACGCTGAAGCTGGGGGTAAGCATGAACTGCTGAGCCTGAGCTGGGGGCGTAGCATGAACTTGCTGAGCCTGGGGTGCTGCGGTTAAGCGTGAACCAGCTGTGCCTGAGCTGGGTGGTAAGCGTGAACTGCTGTGCCTGGAGCTGGGTGGCGTAAGCGGAACTGCTGGCTGAGCTGGGCAGGTAAGATGTGAACTGCTGAGCCAAGGTGGGTGGGTAAGCAGAACTGCTCGAGCCTGGAGCCTGGGCGGGTAGCGTGTATGCTGGAGCACTGAGGCTGGTTGGGTAACGTGAACCTGCCTGAGCCCGGGCTTGGGCGGATAAGCGTGAATGTGCAGCCTGGAGCTGGGCGGGTAGCGTGAACTGCTGAGACTGCGCTGGGCGTGAGGTAAGCGTGGAAACTGGCCTGAGCCCGGGGCTGGGCGGATAAGGTGAAAACTTGCTCGAGACTGAGCTTGGGCGGGTAAGCGTGAACTGCTGAGACTGAGCTGGGTGGGTAAGCGTGAACTGCTGAGACTGAGCTGGGTGGGTAAGCGTGAACTGCTGAGCCTGGGGTGGTGGGTAAGCGTGAACTGCTGAGCCCGGGCTGGGTGGGTAAACGTGAACTGCTGAGCCTGGGGTGGTGGGTAAGCATGAACTGCTGAGCCTGGGGTGCTGGGTAAGCATGAACAGCTGTGTCTGAGCTGGGTTGGTAAGCGTGAACTGTTGTGCCTGAGCTGGGCGGGTAAGCGTGAACTGCTGAGCCCGGGCTGGGCGGGTAAGCGTGAACTGCTGAGCCCGGGCTGGGCGGGTAAGCGTGAACTGCTGAGCCCGGGCTGGGCGGGTAAGCGTGAACTGCTGTGCCTGAGCTGGACGGTAAGTGTGAACTGCTGAGCCTGAGCTGGGTGGGTAAGCGTGAACTGCTGAGCCTGAGCTGGGCGGGTAAGCGTGAACTGCTGTGCCTGAGCTGGGTGGGTAAGCGTGAACTGCTGAGACTGAGCTGGGTGGGTAAGCATGAACTGCTGAGCCCGGGGTGGTGGGTAAGCGTGAACTGCTGAGCCCGGGGTGGTGGGTAAGCGTGAACTGCTGTGCCCATGCTTGGCGGGTAAGCGTGAACTGCTGAGCCCGGGGTGGTGGGTAAGCATGAACTGCTGTGCCCATGCTTGGCGGGTAAGCGTGAACTGCTGAGCCCAAGCTGGGTGGGTAAGTGTGAACTGCTGAGCCCGGGGTGGTGGGTAAGCGTGAACTGCTGAGCCCGAGCTGGGTGGGTAAGCGTGAACTGCTGAGCCCGGGCAGGGTGGGTAAGCGTGAACTGCTGAGCCCGGGCAGGGTGGGTAAGCGTGAACTGCTGTGCCTGGGCTGGGTGGGTAAGCGTGAACTGCTGTGCCTGGGCTGGGTGGGTAAGTGTGAACTGCTGAGCCTGGGCTGGGTGGGTAAGCGTGAACTGCTGAGCCTGAGCTGGGTGGGTAAGCGTGAACTGCTGAGCCTGAGCTGGGTGGGTAAGCATGAACTGCTGAGCCTGGGGTGGTGGGGAGGACCTGGATTCCCTGTGGCTGTTCTGTCTAGATGAGAAAGATGCACAGCAAAGAGACTGCGGCCGATAATCTTATGACCTTTTTTCTGATAATAAATTTCTAATTACTGTTCTCACTAATTCCAAGCTAAGGGCCATTCTCAATTGATGTAGGATTGAGCATATACATAATCATATAACTGAGACTTCAGCAGTAAAAGCTGAGACACATGCACGGGCTAGAGGGAGCCTTGCGTGCCGGAGGAGTGTGGGCCACCAGGAAAGCGGGTTCTCTCTGCCTCTACTCACTGTGCGTTCCATTGCCAAGATTCCTGAAGTTCTAATCCTTTCTTTCCCCATCTGTAAAATGAGGATAATAATCACTATGTCAGATGGCTACAGTAAAGTTTAATGCGACCATGCATGTAAGGCATTGATATTGTGCCCAATGTAGTCTAAAGTTTCAGGAAATAAACAGCAACAATTATGACACATGCAAGCCATGAACCCAAGTCAGTCATCTGCGCTGAACAAACCCTTTCATCGAGTATCATTGACTTCTGGCTTCAGGTGCAACATATACACTCTTTACCAAAAGGTGAAGAATTCTGGCCATGCTCAGTGGCTCATGCCTGTAATCCCGGACCTTTGGGAGGCTGAAGTGGGAGGATCGCTTGAGCCCAGCAGTTCAAGAATAGCCTGGGGAACATAGTGAGACCCTGTCTCTATTATAACTAAATACATACATACATACATAAAGTTTTTTTTAAAAAGGTGAAGAATTCTGAACTACATAATTTCCTGTTACCCTTTGGATCTCTTCATCTACCTCAGAAATGCTGTGTGTGTTTGCAACACACTATCATAGAAACAGGCATCATAACCTTTTAAGTGTAGGGCTGTCCAGGGTGGCAGGGGCGTTACTAGAGAGCAGATTAATTGCTGTCGTCTCAGTGGGCAGGAGCTTGAAATGCTGTGTGCGTGTGCTGCCATCTTGTGGTATCTTGGGGGAACATGTGTCTGATTATTCTGGAGTCGCTAGCTGACTGGGTGACTTCTAACCTTTTTGAGCAGGATTACATGTTACATGTTACATACATACACATGGTACATAGGCACCCATAAATCCACACCAAAAATGGTGTTCCAGACAATGGGTTATTCCACCCATCAAATTATTTACAGGTTGCTCTAAGTGTAGGAGAAGGGAGGACAAGGCACATCCATGTCTAAGGAGGAAACACATGCCCCTTTGCAGGCCCAGGAGGCTGTCCTGTGGAGGGAGGCCCTGTTTCCTAAGTGCTTCCAAGGGAAGCAGATCTGGGAAACTGAAGGCCTTAGAGATTCCGCTCAAGATGTACCCAACTCAGTTCTGCTGGTGTGCCAGCACTGCTCGCCCCCAGCCCCTCAACACACACCTTAACTCATTCTCTGGAAAGCTACACACATTCCAAGTAAGAGCGTGGCAGTGCCAGTCCCCAAGCTGCTCTGGACATTCACACACTGAAGGGCATTGGGGTTGTGTCCAGTTTGGGGCTACTCTGCATAAATCGGCTATAAACACTTGTGCACAGGCTTTTGTGTGAACTAAGTTCTCATTTCTGTTGGCTAATTCCGAGAACAGTAAGTACTAGGTCACATGGTAGTTGCATGTTTAGCTTTTCTTTTTTTTTCCGCCCAGGCTGGAGTGCAGTGGCGCTATCACTGCCCTTCCCTCAGGTACTTGATTCCGGAAACTGACTCTCAACCTGCCTTTGCCTACCTCTCAGTCTCAGAGGAACCCCTTCGTTGAGGCTTTTCCTCCTTCTAGCTCCTGCGTTTCTCTCACCCCATCTCACCTCCGCCTGTCCATCATAAGCCTATTCTATTCCCTGTCCTAAGTTTGCACAAGAAAAAAACCTGAGGCTCAGATTGGGTAACACGGCCACAGGTTGACAGCCCAGATGTGATGAGCAGGAACAGAGAGAGCAGAGTCCCCAGGTGAACGGTCAGGCCTTGGGGACTTCAACAAGGAAAGGTGAGGTGCTGAGGCCTGGGGCTCTGAACCTGAGGAGTATAGGACACTGGGAAGACAGCAGGTGGAGTCATGGCTAAGGGAGCTGAGAATATTCCTGTATCTTTGATTCTAGCACTAGGATCAACCCCAGGAAGACACACGTGGGCCCTGTCAATGGAAAACTTTGTGCTGGTGGGGTGTCCTAGAAGGGAGCAGGACAATGGGGAGGAGGGTCTCTCAGTCCCTGGTGCTGTGTGACAGGCATTGGGTGATGGTCAGGAAAGAGGTTACTTTCCATCATTTTGATTTCTTGTTCAAATTTTGCATGAATTGAACAGTCAGTTTCTAAGAGGTTCTATTTCAGGAAACGGCAACCTCCTTCCCTGGGCTGTCCCCTGTACCTGCCCCTCAGGATGCCATTTTATTTCCTTTCCTTTTCTTTTTTTTCTTTTTTTTTTTTTGAAACAGAGTTTCACTCTTGTTGCCCAGGCTGGAGTGCGATGGCACAATCTCGGATCACTGCAACCTCCGCCTCCCAGGTTCAAGAGATTCTCCTGCCTCAGCCTCCAAGTATGTTGCCTAGAATGAAAGAATGACCTGGAGAGAAGTACAAAAATCATACAAAAAGAAGAATTGAAAAGAAAAGGCAAAGCAAGGTTTATGGAGTACATTCACCACCGAGTACGCTCACCGAGTATGTTGCATGAGAATCGCTTGAACCTGAGAGGCAGAGGTTGCAGTGAACTGAGTTTGTGCTACTGCACTACAGCCTGGGTGAAATAGCAAGACTGTCTCAAAAAAAATATTGTGGCCAGGTGCGGTGGCTCACACCTGTAATCCCAGCACTTTGGGAGGCTGAGGCGGGCAGATCACGAGGTCAGGAGTTCAAGACCAGCATGACCAATATGGTACTAAAAAATACAAAAATTAGCCAGACGTGGTGGCACGTGCCTATAATCCCAGCTACTCAGGAGGCTGAGGCAGGAGAATCGCTTGAACCTGGGAGGTGGAGGTTGCAGTGAGCCAAGATCACACCATTGCACTCCAGCCTGGGCAACAGAGTGAGACTCTGATTCAAAAAAAAAAAAAAAAAAAATTGAAATGAGTAGCGTATGCATGCCTGTGGTACCAGCTACTTGGGAGGTTGAGGTGAAAGGATCACTTGGTCTGGAAGGTCAAGGCTGCAGTGAATTGTGATAGCACCACTGCACTCCAGCCTGGGTGATGAAGAGAAAAACTTTAAAGAAATACAATAGTCAACATGAAAGAACATATAAACACATATATGTTATGCAGAAAAAGAACTAATTCCAGAACTCATCCCAGTGTAGCCATTGCTCAGCTTCAGAAACGAACTTCTATGATTATTTTTGCAGAACTCTCTGTACCCACCTTGGCAACCACTATTCAGAATTTTATGTTTTTCAATCAATTGCCCTTCGTTGTAGTCTGCCTCAATTCTTTGTATTTGCATAGATTACATGGAATAGTTTTGCAAGCTTTTTATGCCCTACTGTTCTTCTGGATCTCCACACCTTGTTTGTGACTTTCCTGCATGTTGGGGCACGAAACCTGTGCAGTATTCCACTGTAATGACTGTAGCGCATATCATTTCTCCATTCTTCTGTTAATGTACATTTGGATTGTTTTCAGTTTTGCTGCCTTGATCAATATTTACCTGTCTTCTAGGACACATGTGCAAAGTGCTGTGTAGTAATGGAATTGCAGGGCCAGAGTTGCATGTTCAACTTTATTGGATAAGGCCAAACTGTTTTCCAAAGTGGTCATACTGATTTAGACATTTGCCCCCCACCCCCATCCCAGTGAAAACAGGTTCCTCCTATTCTACTTCCTTGCAAATACTTTGGATGCTTGCATTAATATTAACCCTTCACTTTTTACTCAGTGACAGGTAACTGTAAGGTTATTCATAGGAATACATCTCTCATTCCTCCTCCTTCAAAATGACTATCTTTCATGATACTATTACCAGCAGTGAATCCATATGGGTCTGCAGCAACTCAATTCTTGCCTCCTTGATGGAAGGAATTCATCTGAGTGGCAGAAGGTGGAGTGAGCAACCAAGGCACGTTTTAGAGCAGGAGTGAAAGTTTATTAAAAAGTTTTAGAGTGGGAAGGAAAGGAAGTAAAGTACACTTGGAAAAGGGCCAAGCAGGAAACTTGAGAGATTGCCCTTTGACTTGGGTTTTTTTACATTGGCATGATTCTGGAGGGTTGTGTCTCTCTTCCCCTTATTCTTCCCTTGGGGTGGGCTGTCCCCTCGCAGAGTGGCCTACCAGCACTTGGGAGGGTCTGCATGCACAGCGTGTTAACTGAAGTTGTATGTATGCTCACTTGAAGTGTTTTTCAGTTAGCAGCGGAATGTTCCTAGAGGAAGGTCATATGCTAGTTAAACTGCCATTTTGCCTCTTA